TATCTCAGTACGTCGTTTAATTAGATTACCAGTTTCAATCGTCATTTTAAGTTAACAATTTAACTTAATCAATCAATAAATTATCACAAAAATGAGGAAACAGCGTACCTTGGATCCAAATAGTGCAATCCAGTTTCAGGACGCAAGCAAATGAAGATGCGCAAGGTTTCAACATTCGTGTTCAGAATAAAAATAGTCTCATTAAACTAATTATATTAAATTAAGAAATTTCTAAATCATCATCATTATTATTATTATTCCCAAGGATTTATCCTCTGTTCAAATCCAGATGTAGTACTGGAGACTCGCAACCAATCCTCATGTAATCTGATCTGAAAACTACATAAAGAAAAAAATATATAGGGTTACATTAAGAACTTGGCAAGAATAAATCGCTGCCACAGCACAATACAAGGGTGTTATAATGAGGCTTTGTCCTACTTAGTTTTATCTGTCTGTAGGCTAATGGAAATTTTCTAGGATATAGTATGTAAATTAGACCGAGCTATACTGCTGAATTGGTAAGATATATTGAATTTACTTTAGCTGCCCTATTGCCATGGTGGTACCATAGCTGGCTGCAATAGCTTTGGGTCCAGGTTCGAAGCTCAGAAAAGGCATGGATGTTTGTAAATGTTATAGTGTCTTTGCACTGTAAGAGCACTTAAAATACTGTTGAGCTGAAAGTTGTCTTGAAAGATTATTTGAAGGGAAAGAGAGGTGGAAAACTTATTCATCTCAAAGGAGGATATGTTTAAAAATTCAGATGGAGCTTGGCAAATTCACACTGTCACCTGTAAGATGCCTAAGCAATGGCAGACATAGCTCTTCTCTCTTGGAATGCTGGATCAAGTTCATACATTTGATATGTCACAAGAACAAATTCACTATAGACTTCAAGTTTTTAAACTTATAATATCAAGCTATAACTACATTGTGAGTTAAAGAGTGCATATAGTTTTTAAAGCAACAGATGTTCAAGGTAGTACTTTGATTTGTAATTACAGTGAAAGCTCTCAGGAAGACTTACGACAACTGTTCCATTATTCCTTCGAAGGTCAGAAGAGTAGGGATGAAATATATTGTTATAACACAAACAGTTTATTTTACAAATCCAGCAAGCGACACTGTGGCTTTGACATCTCAAACAACACTCAAAATATAAATGGCCTAAGGTAATACTCATTAATTCTCAAATACACATGAAAAGCAGCTCGAAGCCATTTTTCTCATTTTTTAATAAAAAGAACAAGCTGAAAACATAGGTATAAAAAGACCTCCACTGTTGCCATACGTAATTTCTAAATTACATCAAACAAAGGTAATATTAGATAGATGTTCAACTTGACGTCTTCCCACCTAAGTTAACTTTTATCTTAAAAAATTAATTTACAAAAGAAACTTATAAATAGTTTATAAATCCAGTCTCTTAGGTACTTTGATTGTACGACCTGCTCTAGTCTTTTGAATCTGAGGTTCAGGTACACACACATCATCAGAGGCAAAATTTTCACAAGTTTCATTTCCCACCTTCTTGGTTGAAAATTTCTCAATAATAGTATCATTGTTGGAAAATTTAAGTGGGTATGGTCTTTGAATTGGTCTCAGCAATTGTGCATTAATTGTCGATCTTTCAGAATACAAATTCTCTCTTGTAGAATATTTATAAAAATTTGAGTACTAGCATGTAAGTTTTTCTCGTGATAGTATTGCACTAATCTTTTGACAATGTCATGATTGGATGGAAGAATAGCTGACATTTAAAATTTTTCTGTATCCTCACGAAAGGTAAGCTTAGTTTTCAATCTGAGGATTCCACTGAGATCCTTGAATACTACTAAAGTTTTTAATTTCTCCTTTTTTACATTCACAAAATATGTTCTTGAGCTATTTTCATCAATAAATTCTCAGCCTTAAAAATTTCATCAGAATCAAGGTTTTCTTGTTCATTCAGCAATTGTAAGTCAATCAATCTTAGGATCCTGGCAATTAGATTAATTATCTTTTTGTACTTGGATAAGTATTTGTAATACCAATCTCTCTTGGTAACCATGCATGCAAAAACTAAACATTTTGTTACAGATAAAACTATGCTCTTTTCCTTTTCTCTAACAATCTCACTCTCATCTTAATTTAAGTCACCTTTTAGCAAGTCTCTTTCAGGCAAGTAAAGCCAATTTGGGTGCAGCCACTAGTTAGATTTCAATACATTTAGAGCTGAATAACCTCTGTTCAGGAGATTAACCAAATTCATGCAACCAGAAATATGTTTCCAAGAATGTTTACTCGTTAGTCTTCATATTTCGTTCACTATTGTGGACAAAGACATTACAGGCTTCTTCTCTCATTGTCCATGCTAAAATAGTGGAAGAATCAGCCCAGAAGTAAATTTCTTCACTCTGTATCTTGGATCAAATTGAGGACGAAAGTCATGATGCTATAGTAGCTGCAAGTAATTCCAATCTTGTGATAATAGTTTCTTCATTTCCAGTTGGTGCAACTCTACTCCTGGCTTGTATTAGTTGTACTTTAACAGAATCAAAAGTTTTTATTTGAATGAAAGCGGCCACAGCATAAGCATGCTTACTGGCATCACAGAAAATATGTACTGAAGTATTTTCACTTGTATTCCATGAACCAAAATATCTGGGAAAACGGATCTTTTCTAGATAGTCAATATCTCTCAGCCATTTTAAAGATACAGTTCTCATGCAGATATCAACTTCTCCATCCCTTGTTATCTTCTGCTTCCATGTTTCTTGAAGCAATAATTTAGGGATAAGGATGACAGGACAACATATACCAAGAGGATCAAACAATCTATGAGCTGTAGATAAGATTAAATGCGTAGTTACTTTTTCAAAACATAACTCTTTTATACTACCACTATTTATTTGTAGAGTGTCAGATTGTTTATTCCATTAAAGCGAGCACATTTGTATCGGCCAGAAGCATCATCATTAATATCATTGAACTCCCACACTCTAAAAAGATTGAGTTTGTTTTCATTTTTAACACAACTGACACAGTTGTCAACATAGAAACTATGCATAAGTTTTTGAATAACACTTTTTGAATATGAGGATTCACCAGTTTCTATTTTCTCTAAAACAGTTTGTAAGTGAAGCTGAATAGTAGAGTTTAGAAGGAAAAGGCTGCTTGCTACACCAAAAACTACATGACAATGCCTGTACTCTTTCGGCTGACCATCACTATCAAGCCATAAGAACCTCAAAATATCTGTCAATGGGTGAAACACTTATTTGTAGGAAGGCTCTTTGTATAACAGCAATAACTCTTCTTTTTGAAATCATGTTAAAATATTTGGAATCTGCTCTATTAGATTTGGACCTTTTTCTAAGCAGTCATTAAGACTAGGAAAGCCTTTACCTTAGCTTACTACAAAACTTACAACAAACACTAGTTGGAGTTTTGAAGTACAATTTTCTTTGATAACTCCTTGATGAGTAAGGTAAGGAACTCAACCTTGATCATTTTTAGAAACCTCTTCAGTTACTCCCTCTTCTAGCCATTTCTTAAAAACATTTTCATAAGCTTCGTAATTGGACTCTGTTTTAAAGCATTTAACAGTTTTGTTAGGTCTCCTCCTGGCTGAATCAAAATAATCTGGATGATCTATCTTCCAGCCAGGGCAAATCAACCTAAAAATGATCATCTACTACATGGACTGTATTTAGGAAATGTAATCGTGCAGCTTCTTGCAGTTCAATCTTTCTTTTCTTTCTTTCAAAACTTTTAACTCTTCGGCAGGGCTGCCTTTTTACATTGCTTGAGATAAATACAAAAATTGATCATGAAAATCAATATTAATGTTCTCATCAATTTTTTAAACTGCCTCCAAAAGTAGAGCCAATTTCTTACAGTACCGTCAAAAGTAGGTAATTTTAGGTTTTGATAATGCAATGAAGTGTTCGGCTGCAAAGTAATATTCAAACTTTCATTTTTAGAAGATAATTGTTTACCCACTAGCATTTCTGGCTTCTGTTTTAAAGACCTCCAGTGATCAATATATGTTTGACTCATCTATCTCTTTCTCTATTTCGGCATCAGAAGTATTTTCAGAATACAACAGTTGTTTATATTTTCTGTTCAAATGCTATCATTAATAAAGCTTTATCTTTAATTTATTAATTTTCTTAATTCAGTTTAATTTCTTCCTAATTAAAAGAATTATATACTCAAGCAAACAACCTTCTAAGTTGTTTTCTATTTTTCAATAGGGTTTCCATAATGAATAAAGAATAAAAGCAAACTATAAAAATATTTTTTACTCACTCGTAAAAAGCAGTTGTGTCCTGTTCTTGGATACCAGATGTTCCATTATGCCTTCGAATGTTAGAAGAATAGTAATGGAAAGTGTAATAAATTATTATGTTATTATTATTAAATGATTTATTATAAATCAGTGTAATAATTATTATTATTATGGAACATCTTATTACAACACAGTTTCTTTTTACAAATCCAACAAGTGATAACTGTAGCTTTGACATCTCCAACAATACTCAAAATATAAATGGCGTAAGATAATACTCATTAGTTCTCAAATATGCATGAAAAGCCACTCAAAGCCATTTTTTCTCATTTTCTAATAAAAAGAAAAAGTTCAAAACAGAAATATAAAAATTGTATGTAATTTTCTAAAGGTAATATTAGATAGATGTTCACCTTGACAACAACCATTGGTCAGTCTTTCTGAGAGTATGATAAAATAATGGTATTAAACATCAATGGCAGCTACTTATTTTCAAGTAACCACTATCACCCTAGGTAAAAAATATGTGTGAACTGTAGTTGATTGTCTTAGGGAAGTTTTATCAATTATAGTTTTTATATCAGATTTCCGCATAGTATTGCACATGTGTAGTGATTTCACCAATTTATTACAAATATTTCATTGACTATTTATGTAAGAAAAACATTTTTATTGTTTTAGAACACAAATAATATTTCTTTCCTTTTTTTAAAAAATAATACAGGCTCAACTTCGAACTTTCATACCTTTGATGTTAAAATATTCAACTGGACGAGGAAAGCCTGGTTGGGGTCGGGAATCTACAAGGCCAGCATGGTGGCCTAAGGAATTACCGTGGGCAAATGTCAGAAGTGACGCACGTACAGATGAAGATAAGCAAAAGGTGAGTTTTACTACAAAAACAAGTATTTCTGTCATTATTGCATTCTTTAATTCAAAAATAAAATATTGAACACCAGTTGCTCATTTTGCGTGCAATTCTTGGTGGAGTATGTTTTGAATTATAATCTATAAAATTTTTACCATCATCTTAAAGTAGATGTATTTCTAAGCATTCCTGCAAAAATATTAGTTTTTTATTCAAAATTTCTGAAGATATACGCAAATTTATATATTGGCACATTTTGAAATTTGGCATATTTGTTGAAAGCGATAGAACATCAAATGTGGTTTAGACTGCTAAAATTCTTTGAAAGTAGGAACATTTTGACTTTTTTCCGCTCGTGCACAATCTAAAAAGGTAGGAACGAGGGGCCTTTTTTTCGCTCCAGCATAATGGAAGGGAAAGGAAAATTGGTTGCTATATATTAAGAAGTTCATCAAGTGAATTATTCTTGGTTCAAACTGAAAAAAATCACCCCAAGATAAATTTTTGAATTTCTCCAGAAATTTTGCACTAAATTTTACAACATTTAATATCTAGGCATAATTTCAGTCATAGAATTGAAATATGGAATAAAATTGGTATGTTATTTCAAAAAAAGTCTGATTTTGTGTCGAAATACCTATGTTAGAACATTTTTTTTAATTGAAAATTTTAAATTCCTTGTGCATCACATAGTGTTACACAAGACTTACAGAGTTAAGTAAAAAAACAAATACAACAACACAACACAAAATAAAATAAACTTACAAATTCACAGATGACACGTAAGAGATAAATTTACAGAAGAAAGAGAAAGCCATTTTATTGTTGGACAAATACGTGAAGAGGGGGGAGGAAATTTAATATTCAACAGAGTTTAACCTAGGAAATGAGTTCTTTTCGTTCTTCCGAGAGCTGTAATAGATACAACAACACATGTTCGACATTTTGCACTCTCCCGAAACTGCATGAACACAAGTCTGTACTAGATAATCTAAATATCTTCAGATATGAATTGAAATTTACCATGTCCAGTTAGAACATTGAGTAACTTCAAAATTGCAGAAAAAGAAAGTTGAATTATTCAGTCTGTGAGGAATGGAAGGAAAATATAGTTTAGTCAAAGGAAGCAGTAGTAGAATTCCTGTATAGTTCATTCCACTTGAGTTATTGTATCATCCCTACATTTTTTCCTTGGAAAAAAATGACATTCTTGTAAAATGACTTGGGACAGTATCATTGGAGTAATTAACTTGAAGATGATTAGCTTGTTTTTCCAACCAATCAGTCCTTTCATTTCCTAGATTGCCAGTGTGGCCACATACATGAGAAAAGATAAGCATGAATAGAGCATGAAGGGCATGCATAGAGACAATTAATTTATTACATGAGAAGATATTCCTAAGAGTATATAAGGATGAGAGAGAATCAGTGGGAATAAGAAATTTAGCACTTAGTGAACAGTTGTTAGATATCCACTTAATTGACTCACTAATGCACAGTAATTTGGCTTGAAAAACGCTGCATTCATTGGGAATTCTAAAGAGTTCGTATTTCAGTTCAGAACCTTGATGGAAAATGACATAAGCTAATCCAACTCAATTATTAATTTTGCTGCCATCTACGAGGGCTATCCAGAAAGTAGATTACGTTTTGGAATAAAAAAATAAACAAAGTATAGGAAACAAATTTTATTATATACAGATGAAAGCCACACTCAAATACTACTTTTCTACATAGTCACCATACAAATTAAGGCATTTATCGTAGCGATGTACGAGCTTGGAAATTCCTTCGTCGAAAAATTCGGCCGCCTGCGCCTTCAACCACTTCATTACCTCTTCTTGCAGCTGTGCGTCGTCATCAAAACGCTGCATAGCATAGCCAGCCACTTCTTCATTGCTGGGAATAGGTGGAAGTCGCTCGGTGCCAGGTCGGGGACTGTACGGCGGATGAGGAAACAACTCCCACTTAAAAGATTCAAGAACTTTACGAGTGACATTTGCCGTGTGTGGGGGCCGGGCGGGCGTTGTCGTGAATCAACAAGATCTTAGAGCTCAACATTCCTCTGCGCTTGTTTTGAATTGCTCTTCTGAGTTTTTGGAGAGAGTTTGGCAATACCTTTGAGAGTTTATTGTAGTGCCTCTTTCCAGGAAGTCCACCAAAATTACACCTTTTCTGTCCCAAAAAACAGTCGCCATCATCTTCCTTGCCGACATTGTTTGCATGCATTTCTTGGGTTTTTGGGGAGAACTTGTGTGCCCCCACTGCATTGATTGCAATTTCGTTTCACAGTTCACATGTTTCACCCATGTTTCGTCACCAGTAACGATGCGATCGAGTCGAGTAAAGAGTCACCATCCTTATGGTAAGCGTCCAAAAAGTTCAACGCTGCAGCCATTCGCTGATTTTTGTGGTCCTCTGTCAAGATTTTTTTGGAATCCATCTTGCACAAAACTTGTGGTAACCAAGCTTTTCGCTGATGATTTTTGTGCAAACAAACTTCGCGAAATTTGTGGAAAACTCAAAGAAAGTTCCGTTATTGTGAAATTTCGATTTTTCACGGACTTTAGCATCGACTTTTTTCGAGAAGTTCGGCGGTCACTCACTATGCTGGGTCTCCCACTTCGATCTTCGTCGTGAACATTGGTTCGGGCCATTTTGAAATCTTATGACCCACTGACGCACTCCACCTTCAGTGATAATGTTGTCCCCATACACTTCACGAAGCTGCCGATAGATTTCTATCGGTTTACAGTTTTTTGCAGTCAGAAACCTTATTACTGAGCGCACCTCGCAGCTCGCGGGATTTTCAATTAACGCAGACATTTCAAACCGTCACAGTATCTGAACGGAGCACAGCATGAACCTCTCACTAGCACGGCTAGATGCAGACTGAGCTGCGCAACGCTCTGACCCCAAGATGGCCGCGCTAGCCCCGCCCCTAGCGGACACAGACGGAAACGTAATCTACTTCCTGGATGGCCCTCGTATATTATAACACACAACAGGCAAATTATCACCAACAGAATTGTCATAAATGATAGTTTAAATTGGCAAATGATTGATAGGATGAGGAAGATCTTCAAACAACATCTTGGTAACTTTGGGTAGTTAATATTTTGTGAAATTACTATTGACTGTTTGGGTTCCATTTATATCATCAGAATTTCGTAAGAATCAGATTGCTGCGTTTTTCTTTTTCTATTTTGACACCAGCTGTTGCATTATTTTCTTACTTCGTGTTCGTACGGGGTTCATAGATTTGGAGTGAATAACGACGACACTTGATGAAGTATCGAAACACACTTTATTAACCAGTATTGTCAGGACAGTTCCAAAACACGTTTTACAGTCGTCGATGAACTACTATAAACACGCTGATACGATCAGCGACACAGCCTTCAGGTTATCAGGCTATCACGGTGGAGACAGCTTCCTGCAAAGCACTCGACTCTGCTTTCCAGAGTACAACTCCCTACTCTGCTTGGTCGTTCTCGGAACTCCACGTACTCTCAAGACTCTCCACGCTACAACTCGCGATGCACTCGACGACACACAGAGCCACAGCTTACGACTCTTCGGTTCAGTCATTCCCAGAGCTCAACACGCTCTCTCGACGATGCACTAATGGCAATACACTGACAGATTCCTTCGGTGCACTCGGCACTCGTTGCCCGGCTGTCAACTCGGTCGACTCTGCACTGCTCGCTAGACGACGTACACTCTCGATGAGAGACACACTTTCCTCTCGATGAAGCACACTCACTGACTGTGGACCAGCAGGGTTTATATAGCTTTCGGCTTGTGTTCGGACATTCTGGACTAAACCGGTAAGAATTCGTTCCAGAAGGTTCTCCAACCGTCCATGGTATATCGCCAATTTTGTCGCCAAATGGGCGATCTCTCGCTATATGTGGCAACCCTAAAACTGCTTTGCGGGGAAGCTATCTCACCGCGCCTGAGTTTAAGCTACTAATTTAATCTTTTACATATTCTTTATTTTTCTTACATATTCTCCCCTCCCCCCTTCAAGGAAAAAAGGGCGTGACAGAGAAGCCTTTTTAAAGAAAAAGCGTTACTGCATTAGAAAATGAAGCAAAATGTAAATTGTAAAATTTTTATTAGCAATTATTAAATAATATAATTTATAAATAACAATTTTTCAAAATAAATTTAATTTTTAGATTCCTATTGAATTTTTCAGCATTTCAGTCCAAATGCCATTTTGTTTGAGAGTTTACACAATCATAATTCTTCATAGAAGGATCTTCTATAATAGAGTACCACAAATAAAAACTTTTACATATTCATTACTAATAATTAAATGTAATACACATGAATATTTATGATACTAATTTCCATACTGATAAATTATATTTTAACACCATAAATAGTACTAACATTTGCAGAAATTATGGTTTCACCATTAGCTTTCATTTGCAACTCCTGATTTTGTTAAACTGAAGGCCCCACAGTCCTAAACAAACATATCCATCATTAGGGCTATCCTATTGAGCCAACCAGTGTGTTCCACACTAGTGGCGCCTAGACAGTTACTTGCAAAAGGTAACTGGCCTTTGTGAACAGCACTAATACGTTCCATAATAAAAAAGTATAATAATAATGTAAAAAAATTACATACAAGCACCCATAAATTTTAACATACATTTATCATAGTTTCATATTACTTATCTGTATTAATTTCACTTATTTTTTATGTTCACTTCATTCTTATAATAAGTCTTCAAATTAATTCAGATATTTTTTTTGGTATTATTCGGTTTTTAAGGGCCGTAAAAAATTGCCAAACTATTGTTGATGCCAATGCTGCCAAAAATAATTGCGGCAAGAAAGGAAGTATAATAGTAAATAACTATCTAAGATTGATGTTTTAATTTAGATGAAAGGTTAATTTCATATAATACTTTTTTATTATTATAATTTTTATGAAAAAGGTTAAACATGACTGAATGGAAGGATAAGAGTAAATAACTATTTCAAATCATTATTATAATTTATATAAAAATTGCTAAACATATCTGAATGGATGCCCGCATCGCTATTTCGCTACCGACTTATCACTAAAGCATAATTTCATCTCGTTGGTTGTTCAAACGTAATTTTCTATAATGAATGATGAGTTTTCTTTGAAAATATTCAGAATCGGAATTCAGAAGTGCAGAATTGCTCACTTATTTGTTTGCTGCTTTTTACAAGGGTAAAAACAATTGGATTTTTGTCAGTTTTGTTTTACTTTTTAAACAGGTCGATGTGTACATAGATAAAGTCGGGGGTGCACAGTGCCATTTTTGTGCAATTCTGTGATTTTTTTAAAGTGAAAATAGGTCGATGTGCACATGGAAACCAAGTATGTGCAATTCTTAAAAACGCATCAAGCAGTGAATGATTCTGCACTTTACCCAAAATTCTACTGCTGACTTTTCATCATGGGCAATTCCAAAATTGTTAAATCCATAGGATATCAAAAAAGGATTTAACTATATAAACTTACGCAATCTGAAACCAGCGTTAGCGCGCTGTTAAATGAGCGCATTTGCTAGATTTGGCGCTTTTGCATATACATTTTCGCTGCAATTTTTTTATGTCCCTCAAAACAGAAAAGTACCGTTTTTTTTAAGTAAGCCATAAATACGATTAATGACATTACAATTTAATAATCTTCCTTGAAACAATTTTTAATTCTTTGCTTTATTCAAAAAGTTATTTAAACTTGACCATAAAATTCTTAATTTTTCATTTATATAAAACAAAGAAGAAACAGTATTATGTATTAAATTTCAAAATAACATTTAATTAATAACAAAATAACCGTTAATTAAAAATTAATGAATTTTTTCATAGTAATGTAAAATTTAAACATAGTCTATCAAAATTAATAACTGCAAACCATTAAATGAAAACTTCAGAATACTTCCATTTTCATTCTTTGAATACTATGTATTATGCTTTTATCTTAAAAAAATAAAATGAAATTGCAGGAATTGGTACTAAAACTTTTCATGCAAAATTTAAAAACCGTTGCAGCACCAGCACTTGTTTCACTGAAAGTCATTTGGAAAAGCTTTAGGCCATATATTAAATCACAGGAAGCATATTGAAAGGATGTAGTGCAGCTCGACATGTGCGAAGTAAATGACAGTTAATAATTTTCGATGCAGAACGGAAGCATCTCTCATATGGCACTTCAAAACACTCGTCATTTTACTATAAACAAACCCTAGATTAATTTTGAACGACTGGGACTAGATAGCATTTTAAATCACTTGTAGCAAATCTGATTCAATTTTTTTATTCACATTTTCATATTGCTATTGAATTATGTTGTACTTTAATCACCACATATATGTTGGATTAAATTTCAAAGAATGGATTTTGACTTTAAACATTTAAAATTTGTAAAACTTGTTTTGGAATGATTTGGCGTAAATGATTTGCTGATTCTCCTTTGCGCACATAGTGACGGAGCTGTAGACATCTTGAAGATTAACTCATGAAGGCATTAATTAACTAATTTTCTTTCACAATTGGGCCCCATGTTCAAATTTATTTAGCTGCAACGTGATGCACTCACAACTACACAGAGCACTGATATATGGTATGGATAGTGAGTGATGCTTGCATCATATTGAGGATGTTGTATTGGTATTAGTGATCATATATATCAGCGCTACCAAATGCTTTTTCTAGGATAAACATTTCAGTTCAAGCATGCATTTTCGAGGTGTGTTTCCATATTTTTATCCAATCCCTGTAGTTTCTCATGTGCTTTGTATTCCGATTTAGCTTTTATGTCGTACTGTAGTGTTTTAACCCTTTACTAAAAATAACGTCTAACAAAATGAAAAATTGTAGAAATTGAATATTTTATGAGTTAGTTAGTCAAATTGATTTAATAAACAATGTCTGTGGGACTGTTATGTTTGGACAATAATGACGGATTTTTTTTTTTAAATACAAAAACATCATTTTAATTCTTCAGAGTCTTCTTTGAAATGAGTACTCTAGTTCTAATAATTCTTACTTAATGTTTTTGAAAACCATCATCAGTGTAATGTTTGTCCAGTCTTCAAAATTTATCTTTTATTTCTTAATTACGTCTAATTTTATCTAGATCTCTTTTCTGTATGATATATTTTTATGTTTGGGAATAAATGATAGTCAGAGGGTGCAGGATGGGATATAATATTCTAATGTAATTATAGCAATTTCATTGTCAGGCTTGTGTGTAGCTGAGAGAACTAGAACATTATTCCGATAGAAAACAACTTTTTTTTTATTGTTTTGATTTGTAGTATCGATTGCCATAAATTAAATCTTTCTAGATTACTTGCAGGAACACCTGCAATGATAATAGTCTTTTCCTGCTAATGGAACAATTTTTCTTTTTGGGAGTGGGCACCCTGTAGATTTATTGACGGTAACCTGCTGTGTCTCATGACTTGTTTCGTTTCAGATCATAAATGTGATATCAAATCTTTTGTTACTTAAGTCAAAGCAACTTTATTTTTATCAAATAATTTATACTTCATTAACCATTTAAAAAAATTACTTGCAGGTTTCTTGGACTCATGCATTGCGTCAGATTGTAATTAATTGTTATAAATACCATGGGCGTGAGGATCTTCTACCTGCATTTACAAATGATGATGATAAAGAAAAAACCAAAGCTGCAATACAAGCCCAAACATCTGCTATTGAAACTCTTGCAAGTGCTCAGGGAGTAAGACATTTCTTTATTTTAGCTCAAACTTTTGTTTTGAATGTTTATACTGTTTTTATAAGCTAACTTTTTGCTTTCCTGTTTTAGACTTTATACGCTCAACCTTTAACAGCGCATTATCCAACCATGGTTCAAACTATCAGTAATCCTGATGGCACTGTGTCACTGATACAAGTTGATCCCACAAATACTGTTGTTACTCTACCTGATGGTACTCAAGCGCAGTTACGTACTGTGAGTGCGGTAAGAAATTTTTTATTTGTACTTGTATAACAATTGAAAATACTGTATTTTATTAAAGATTGCAGCAGAAGATCTGTGTAACTGAGGGTAAGATATCTTTTCTTGTAATATAATTAATCATTTTGGAAAATTTAACATTTTATGATATTTCTTAGTTCTTTCCGAAATAATCTGCTTATATATAAGACAGATTGACATGCAAGCTATCCTAAAAATTTTACGGGTGTTTATGTGAAAGAATAAGATTTCCTCATGTATATTAGAAATACTTAATTAGGCAGGCACTTTTAGGATTTAATTAAGATACTTTGAGGTAAAATATTTTGTTTTCATGAAAAAAAAAAAAAAAAAAAAAAAATCTAAAGTCAAGTCATTAATATATGTGTGTGTGTGATATGTAAATCAAAATTTTAATATTAATTTACAATTGTTCTTAATTTTTCAGTTTTAATTTGGTTATTTTCCTTTCCCTAAAAATAATACCCATTTGAAATTTATCACTTTATCTATTTCTTCGTGAATCAGTTTTGATCATTAACATATCTATGTTGTCATCAAAAATAATTTCATTAAATGTGCATGTAAAATATGAATTAAGATAAGATACTTCATTGGCAGTAGACCTTTAAACTTTTAATTTAAATTAAAATATAACCCCTTTCACTTTTGCACTTATAACAGTCTTTCCCTACAGTAGCTGCAATGCGAAAACTCTTACCCAGTCGTGCAAGATTAAAACAAAGCGCTGTGAGATTTTAAATACTCCGGCTATGATATGTGAACTCGCTTTTGCTGTCTATGCTTGCTTGAATAAGCCAATCTCGTGCTTGTCTATATTTCTGCATTAGAGTAATCAATAAGTAATAAAGATATGTTGGAATTATCAAGGAATTTGTGATTCTTCAAAAGTTCCCATTATCATCATCTACTACGAAATTTTCTATCATGAACTACATATCGTATTTCCATACTTCGGCCATGCTTGAAAAATAGTTAGCGTCTTTCCTAGTCAAGCAATCATGTATTATCAAATTATCTGCAACAAACTAAATTGTCATCATCATCATCATGCACGCACACATTTAATTTAAATGTTAATCTTGACACAGTTTTGAGATAGGTATTTTAAGAGGTGAAGTAACTTATATTCGAGCCAGCGTGTAAAGCATTAACCTTTTTGTGATGGCGCACCTTTGTTTAAGACGCTCGTGCGGGACGGAAGAGAATCGAAGGCAGTCACCGTACAGGACGGAGGTTTTGCATCGCTAAGCCTAATTTTATTACAAAAATCAGAAAAACAAAAGTTTCACTTCTAGCATCGTAATTTTTGGTATCATTTTAGATTATTACTTGCTCTTATATATGTTAAAACATTTTTTCTTTATTTTACATGAAAATATACTTAAAAAATTGCTTATCTTCTAAAATATTTTTCGGAAGCGCTATTCAAATTATTACAAAGCTTTAATTGATAAAATCCATCAATAAAGTTTAAAATTAATAAAAAGAACATAATAAAGACTATTTACAGTAAGAAGTAACAAAATTTAAAATGAAAATGAGTGTGGTAAATCTCGAAGCACAGAGAAGTATCACTTTGTAACTCTTAGAAAAAGTATCACTTTTCAACTCTTGAGAAAATGAATCATTATTCTCATTTGCATTAGTAAATGGTTCACTAACCATACAAGGGTATTCTTCCTCTGATAAATAGCGCCTTCCCGCCATAATAGACTGGAGGTGAGGCTTTCCTAAATAAAAAAAGAAGGAACGGAAATATATCTGAAGGCAATGAAAACGTAAAATAACTCCGCATAGTAACCCTAAAAGACCATACATAGTAGAGGGGAAAAATAGATTAAAAGAAGGAATTGGATATAAATCAGATACGAGAATGTTTTCATTAGCACTCAGCGATTTAAAGAGCACCTCTGTTTGCGCTTTCTCGCCGCCCCCCCCTCGAACAGTTGATGAGTAAAATACCAAAGTCAAGCAGAATATATCAAAGTCAAGGTCAGGAACCTAAAACTGTGTTCATTTCAAAAGTAATGGACAATGGATGCCATCTAGTGGCCTTCAGAAAAAGTTCCACCTTAAAATGCGTATACGCATCACCCGTCCTCTGAATGCGATCTTTACTGATGCGTGGATGGGACGCCCGGCTGTAAGACACGTTCTTAGGGAATGCGTATATGGGACGCCCGTCCTGAAAGGGTTAAGCCTTTAGGAAAATCAGCATCATGGATTTCACAAGACCTTTTTTAACCTCTGCCTATACTATTTATCTGTATATATTTCAAATGGATTTAGAGAAATTTAAGGAGAATCATTTTATCAGAAAAACCTGACTTGCTGTCAGTGTTTAGCAATTATATATTGTCAAATAATCTTAATTTAGTTCAAAAAAAAATTTAACACTTTCAGATTAAAAGAACATTTCGGTACTTACGTATTATCGCAACCAGGTTGGCGCGATTTGTAAGTTTGAGTAAAAAAGTATGAATAGAAAGAAAATGTACATTTATTAATTACAGATAATTTTTAATACAGTTTTTTATATTATTTTGTTTAAAATATAAAATAGCAATTAAACCCTTCCGATTTCGAATTTGAATAAGTTGTAGAATTATTTTTCCGGCGGAAATCTTTTGGCAATTGCTTTTAGCAATGATTGAAAACCGTCTTCGCCATTAACAGCCTCAGCTTGGCGCCATATAAATTCGATAAGGTATGAGTTAAGATGATAACGGGCTGTTTCTCTCTGTTTTTTGTTGCACCATTTGGCTGAGCCCCACATGCGCTCTACATGTTGTGTGTGAACGCCCGTGTTGGGATCCACAAAGTTATATTTGTCATTAACAGTTCCATGTAGAAATCCAGCATTTTCGAACTCACTTGTATTGTATCCTTTCCAGCAATCCGAATAAATAATGCTTCCTTCCTTGATATTTTCGCAAAGCTTTTCCATGAGGGTAACGGCGCTTCTGTTAGGTACAGTAACCAAAAAAGTCTCTTTCTTTTCTCGGGAAATTCCACCGAAAACCCATTGCTGTGGTAGTACACGCCCAGTGTTATTTTTTCTTTTTACAAATAAACTTCCGTCTATACGTAGGTTTGCCGTAAGTAGGGTCGCCAAATTTGGCGATTTATGCGAATTTTGGCCTGGTTGCGTTAATACGTAAGTACCAACATTTCTATTATCATTTCATATTTAGAAACATTTTAAAGTAAAGTTTGGTTAGATGCAATTGAATTTTGCAGCCTTTGGAAACTACTACTAATGTTGAGGATAAAATTATATAGGTATCAGTTTTATGGGAGACTGCTTTCTGAAATCATTACTTGAATTATAATTGCTAGCTGTAAAGAGGGATCTAAAATTACCACAATAGTTAGTGTGATTCCCGCAAATTGTTTTTTTTATCTGCTAATTTAGTATCTTAAGGGCAATTAAATGAAAAATGATTTGTAATTTGGAACTGCAAGATAATTATTAGAGATGAAGCAGGTATCAAATTAGCCAGATGTTGAACATTTTGCTTGATTTTAAACTAAATACTCAGCTATTTTGTTGGTGGATGGGAAATTTTATTCAAACTCTATAAAATAATGTTGACATTAACAAGTAACATTTTTACAGCACATTGACTATATCAGAAGCCACTAAATATTTGTTACAGTTGAAAGGATAGCAAAAAATGTTTTGGAGAAAGAACTTAAATTCTAATCGTGTATAAATTCAAATCTATATTAATTTGTTATAAAAAACACCTTAACTATAATCATGTGACGGCTTTAAACCCAATTGAATTCATCACAAACTTTTCAATCTGTCATGCGACTGAGCTGTATAGATGTGTTTCACAAGTTTCATTAAATGGAAGATCTTTCCTAACTATGGTATTTGAAAACCTTCAAGTTCACTCCTATTGTCATAAAGCTTAGCTATCCTCTGCTATAACGCATGTTGACAATGTATCATGAAATTGGCGAATAAAGATATGTTGCTACACTAAATTTTATCTTACTTCTATCGCACACTGACGAAGTTAAGCATAATTTGTATTAGTTATGTATGATGTGTATGCCTATCTCCCTTAAATGTTTAAGGCTTTACCTGAATCCCCAAAAAACAGATTCCCACATATGCAAGGCCGGCGTTGGATATTTTGTCCCAGTGCAGTCTCTGTGTGTCCTAAATTCTAAAAATTTTGCTGTGGCACCGGTTCTGGGCTTATCATAATTCACTATGATGGCATCAGGGATACAGATTATTCAGTACATATAATAATAATAAATTATTGTTCCTTCAATATGGAGGTATTTTATTTAGTGCCGAAGGCAAATTAAGAATCGCAAGTTTCTACATGTGTTTTTATGAAAAAATATCAAATGTGTGCAAACATAGACTCCAATTACTATGGATTCTCCATAGTTTCTATGGAAAATCATGAAGAAATGCGAGCAACAAAAAGTATGAATAAAACTACCGATTTTACAGAAATTGGGTTAGGAGAACCAGCACGCAAAACCGAACCAACAAATTCATCCGATGATTGGCTGAATACTTGTGTGATCGTATATCATATGTTGAGTGCATTACTGATTTTAAAGAATAGCGAATCGTAGGTCAGTAACTCCAACCGTTAATCACTTCAAAATCCTAAAAACAACCTTGTATTTAGCGTAAGTATATTGAAACACTCAATCGATTTCGAGGGCAGCTAAAGGTCTCTCCTCATCAGGAGAAAGAAATACCTAAAAAGAAGAAAAATAAAGGGGGGAGGAGTCTCAGAAACACGTGGTCCTTATCAGCACAGCACGTGGTTATAACCGGATTTTTAATCAGTTACACTGGCCGCCTACTTTTACTGAGCCAGGCTATCTGATCAAGCATAAAGGACAAGAAAAATTAGCGAAGTTAAAATAGGGAGCGAGGGGCAAATGCACCTTCACGCTCAAAATCTGAACTTCAAATATGGAAAGCAACCACTTGAGGA